AGACACACACACATTAGCACAACACTGAGTGGCTGGCAGACAGGCAGTGTCAGGCAAAGATGCTACCGGGAGTTTGGAGGGACTAGGACCCCAGAAGTGGGTGGATCTGCCAAAGGATCTTACTACAGATACCTTGGGTGATCTCCACACAGGGCTGGCCTTGGGGTGATGCTGGTGCCCACAATCGTTCTGATAAGCCAGTTACTTTTCCACTTGTGACTCCACAGGGATGTCCAAGAAGCACCCGAGTCCTGATGCTCAAACAATGTTACATTCCACAGCCAGCAGAACTCAAGTCTTCTCAGCTTTGCACACAGAACCATTTGTTCTCCATGGGGGATGAGCCTCCTGCAGCCCATGAGGCTCTCTGAACTGGAAGAACATGCTCACTTTATACCACCTCCCAAGCTTCACCTGGGCACCAACTGGAGGCCTGGGCTAACCAGTAGATGCTGCCCCGGATGCTGTCATGGGGGCTGGAAGCCTTGGCTAGCCAGGAGATGCTGCCCCAGATGCTATCGTGGGGGCTGGCTCAAGGTGCTCCACTGGGCTCTGGGCTTCCAGTGTGGCTACCACATCTTCCCCACTCTGTTCAGATCCTAACCACTGACTCAGTGGCCACCGTGAGGATGGGGGATGCATGTGCTGTGGCTTCAGGGCCCCTGAACCTGATTGTTACCAGAGCTATAAGTATCCAAGCCTGGGCCCTAGAAGACTTGATATACCAGGTGCAGCTGTAGGCTCTCGATAGGTCTGGTAGACAAACAAGGAAGAGCAAAAACCAGAACCGATCATTATTCAACGTCGCCACACTGGGGAGAAGAACAAAGGGTCCTGTGACCTCCGAATCCATCTTCAGGACCCTGATATGAAGTTGAGATGTAAACAGGAGGGAGGATCATGATCAGCTGCACTCCCAGGGTCAAGGCGCGGTCCCAGCCGTCACCCCTGTCGGTGCCGCTCTCCCTGGGGGTTCGACAGGCTATCAGCCTCCATCCTCAGCTGGCACCAACCTTCGGCCCTTTCCTTATCCCCACACACGACTCCAGAGGAATCCCCACTTCTTGGGGCCTGCAATCTCAACCCACAAGAAGAGCTGCAGCCTCTCTTGAGAATGTCTTCCTGCTTGTCAATATGGCTGCATGCTCGTCTGAGTTCTCAGGATACTCTGGCCCACTCCATGGGCTTGTTCCAAATCCTGACTCCTGAGCAGTTCCGGAAGACACCTGTCTAAACTTTCACAACTCGTTTTGCACCTGGGGACAGGCCTGGAGAAGCAGCCAGGCAAGAAGGGGCAAAGACATCAGGCTTCTGCAGGCGCCTTCTTGAGAAAGCCATGGGGACTGCCAAGCAATACAGCGGTCTCTGCTCTCCCCCAGCCTCCCTCACACCAGTGTGACTCTCAAGCACAGAGAGGTGTGAACAGTTCCTTCACACCGCTCAGCCCTGCTCGATGTCATTCCAGGAGAGGATGGGATGGGGTGTTGGCAGAACAAACAGCGCCTTTGGGCAGGTCACGCAGCGCTGTATACCAACTGTGTGTGCTGCAGCTTCACAGTGGCCCGAGCTATGGTGCCCTGGTCCTCCTTCCCACTAGGACGTAGGAGGACAGCAACAGTGGCCTCTACCAGATGGGCTGGGAGTCAGGAGACAATCTGAGGAAAGCATCTGGAAGGGCCTGGAACCGTACGAGAAAGCATCTGGGTGAGTAGCAGGATTCACAGGGCTCTGCTTGGTTGGCCTCCCTGGGGTCTCTGGTGCAGCACAGACAGAAAGACAGACAACAGACAGACTCCATCTTCAGGAGTTCAGCTGTGCCTGTTAGCAAGACATCACCACAGATGGGCTTGCTGGCTGTGGATGTTCCCGCACAGGAGGTGGGGGAGCGGGTGGCGGGACCCTCGCCTGACAATCTGGCCTCCTTCTAACTAGTGTGCAATTCCGTCCTAACTGCAGGTAGCCATGGGGTCTCAGCTGGCTGGGGAGGACAGGGAAATGGGGCGCCTTCTATGCAGTCGTGAGGAGCCATCATCCGTGCTGTGTGCAGACCTCGTGCAGCTGTGTCGGGGGCACCATGCTTTTGTCAAGAAGCCCTCATCTATGCCCTCAGTACCCTCAGTGGAGCCCCAGGATGAACCTTGGGGGAAATGAACGTTGGTTTGTCGTTGGGACCTTACAAAGAAGGGGCAGGAGTGGATCATGCCCCTCAGGCAACCTGAGCTGTGACCAAAGAACAGGAGTCTCACCCCAGGTTTATAGTTGGGGAACCCCCATGACAGGACCAACCTGGTTGAGCCTCCTGTGTTTTGATTGCAAAATTGGAATATCTATCTCAACCTCTTTTTTTTCTTTACCATGATTTAATCAACATATTTCATATGCATGCATTGAAATATCACACTGCACACCAGACCTCTGCATTGAAGATTAAACAGCCCAGGTCAGAAAGTGGGCCTTGTAGCCACAGGTGGCTTGGAGGGAACCAAGAGCTAAGGCACACAGCACCCATCATGTGAGCAACCAGTGCATAGAGCACCCAGACTGCTGGCCTCACACCTGAGTTCTGAGCAGCAGGGGTGAGGTCCAGGGTAGGATGCTCAGGCCGTAGAAGCTCCTGGGAGAGGCCTGGCCTGGAGAAGCAGCCAGTCAGCAGCACAGGTGGGAGCAGAGGGCTGTTCTGCTTTGTGGAACTATCTATGCACATGTGCCTCGGCAGGTGTTTGTCTGCCCACCTACAAACCTATGGATGCAAACTATAACACACTTAACCCTACAGGGTTGTTGAAAGGGCTGAATATAAGAATCCACACAGGGCTGGAGGGACGCTCCAGCATTAGGAGAGCTTCCAATCTTGTGAGGGCCTGAGTTCCCAGTACCCACACGGTGGTTCACAGCTGTCTGTAACTCCAGCTGCAGGGCATCTAACATCCTTTTCTGACTTCTACGAGCACTGCACACACAGACACACACATAAAATGAGAAAGAAACCCCAAAACAAAAATAAATCTTTTAAGTTGGGTGTGGTGTCACACTCCTTTAATCCCACCACATGGGAGGCAGAGGCAGGGGGATCTCTGTGAGTTCAAGCCTAGCCTGGTCTACAGAGTGATTGCCATGATAGCCAGGGATACACAATGACACCCTGTCTCAAGAAACGAAAACATCTGGGCAGTGGTGGCACATGAATCTCTATGAGTTTGAGGTCAGCCTGGTCTATAGAGCAAGGTCCATGACAGCCAAGGCTACACTGAGAAACCCTGTCTTGAAAAACAAAAAACAAAAAAACAACAAAAAAAACAAAACAAAACAAAGAAACTGCGGGTAGCTGTGCATATGTGCACACATACATGTGTATGTCTGTCTCTGTAGGTGAATGTGTATTTATATTTGAATGCATGTGTGTGCATGTGCATCTCTGTGTTAATGTGCATGTGTGCATGAACACGTGTATATATGCATGTGTGTGTGCCTGTATGCATGTGTACGCGTGTGTGTGTGTGTGTAAGGTATTCCATGAACCTGTCCTCCACTCTGAGGACATATGACACCATCTCAGAGTCCTACATGCCCTTTGATTTAGAACCACATGGCTCATGACTGGATGAAAAATCATCTTCTTGTGCTTTGAAGTTGACTCCCTGAGGTACATAGAACTCTTCACATCTTGTTAAAATGCAGATTCAGGGTCACTGATTCTTGACCAGTGCCTGGGCTTCTGCATCAGCTCACAGGTAATGCTGGCATGGGCACACTGGAGGAGCGGGCTTTAAAGGACAGCAAAAGGAGTCAGTGATGTCTGAGTTGGAGCTAGTTCCATAGCACAGACCGTGTCTTTCTTCAGATCATCCCTAGGGACTCAACAACTGTTTACTCCATCAGAATCTAGACACAAGCCTGTCACTCCTCCCCCCACCCCACGATCCCTGCCTCCTGTGGGTCCTCCCCCACCCCACAATCTTAGCCTGTCACACTCCTTATCCTCCACCCTACCACCTTTGTCATCCGGTCACTGCTCCCCCACACTATCCCCATCGCCTGTCGCCTGTCGCTCCTTCCCTACCCACTGTCCCGAGACACCAGATAAGCTCCAGCTCTCACTCTCTCTGGCTCGCCCCGTTTCCTGTTCTGCCATCAAGAACGTGGCGCTCTCCGGGGTAATGCGGTGATGGTACTTTCTGGACACCGACTTCAAAAGAAGAGAACTTAGCCTGAGATTCCAAGGCATTCTGACGGCTGCCACTCAAGAGGCTCAAGGGCGTAGTCATTGCTCAACAACCTGTTTCACTTCCAAAACTATTTCTCTTAGACTGGAGTTAATGTGCATCAATATTTGGGCATACTTCACCGAGTCTGCCTTCCCCACCCAAGAAAGCTCAGGGTCAGGCAGTTACTATGCTAGCCTGTGATATATCTGAATTACTTCTAAGTTAAAAACAAAAAATCCCATCTGGGTACAGTGACACTCTGATAACCCCAGCATTCAGGAGGCTGAAGCAGGATGGTGGACAATCCTATGATAGCCTTGGCCACTATCACAGTGAATAAAAGAGAGAATAAAATCTACATTTCAAATGAGTGATTAGTGCTCAATACACTCTGCTTGGTAGGATGACCGATTCTCTCGAGCCCATGGACTCACTAAAGACCACTTGGTCAGCAGCCGATTGGCTAAACCAGTGCCGGAATCCACAGAGACAAACAACCCAGACCTGGTGATTTCAAAACCAAAAGCATAAGCCACAAAGGCGGGATACCACAGTGCCTGCGGATGCTGACACCTACAGACCCTGGTGGACAAAAGGCCAGAGCCATGGTTTCTGGGGATGCCGAGAAGTCCCAGGAAGCCCACGGTGCTGCTTTACTCGGTGTCCCACCTGGACAGCAAGCCATTTGCATACCTGCTCCTTTAAGAACTTATTGGACAAGTAAAAGAATGCGGTAACATCCATGACCAACACTAACAGGAAAGGGCTGAGACGGGAGCAGAACATAGAATTTACCCTCCTCCAGGATGTCCAGGGCATCGAGCGGCTCAGCAGCTGCTGCCTTCTCGTCATCCTGGCCGTCGCATTCGAAACATTCCTCTTCCCCTCCCACATCTCTCAGGGACATTGTTGAAGTCACCCCAAGTCTGAAACATTGTCCTAAGGGGCTGTCCTTGGGAGAGCCTTTGGCCACCTGTCCAGAGGAGCCGTCGGTGCCCGTGCCCAAGGGGCACATGCTGGATTCCAGACAGGGTCGCAGACATGCCCTGGCTCAGCAGGAGTGGGCGGGTGTGCACAGGGCCACCCGCCCAGCATCACTGAGAGAACGAAGGACAGGATGGCTCACAGGACCCTGGAGGAGGGGCCCCACAGAGCACCTGTTGGAATGGCAGCGCCCTACCAAATGCCCTTGGCACAGAGGGAAGCCAGAAAGGAAAGTATGAACCGTGAGGCAAACTCTTGGCCTTTCTCCCCCCACGAGAAGAATAGGAATGGTAGCTTCCTGGAAGTTTCGTAGCAACTGAGAAAACACCAGCCACGCCTCAAGTAGGTACACCTGTCTGCAGGAAGGCGCTGGTGGAGTTGCCCGGGTGAAGCATTGCCCAACACCTCTGAGCTGAGGGACTTCCTGTGGGTGTGCTTAGGAATCTGAGGAGAATGTGCTGGGCCAAGGACCGTGGGAACTGGGGAAGGCAGAGACCCTGACTTCTTTGGTGGAACGAGTGACGCCTGTTTTCCTCATTCCACTGCGTTTTATAAACCCCACATTCCTCTTCAAGCTGTGTCCACAAACCCAAAGAGAGTTCTCTCACTGCTAGAACAAGACAAGAGAAAAATCAAAAGCATAACAGCTTGCAATGGTGCCGTAAGGAAGAAGGCACACTTCTTCCTTAGGTGTGCCTGGACAGTGGTTCCTCTGCATTGCATGACTCTGTCGGCCACAGTCCCTGACACAGGCAGTCGGATCAGATTCCCTCCGAGGCAGCCCCAGCCAACAGCAGCCTCCTGGAGCATCCCATCTTGCAACTTCCAGGCTTCAGCCTCTCCCAGCTGCACTGTGACTGCCCCCTCCCCAACCTATACCTACTGACCTCTTCCTGGCTATGACCCTCTGCCAGGTAACCAGGAGGGATGCCTGAGCAGCAGAAACGCTCTGTGCAGGCTGAGGGACTGAGTGAGGATTCTGCATCGTTGACGAGACTGCCTGCCTGCCGCATGGAATTTCTGCCTTTGCGAGTGCCAGGCAGGAAGCCACGAGGATCATGATTTCATTTAAAAATTCTAACTAGCGGTAGGTTGTACCTCGGTTAAATTTTTAGAACTTCAAAATGACTGCTCCATTGCAAATGACTTCAAAATGACTGCTCCATTGTAACACATGAAAATTGCGTTGTTCAGAAAAGATGTCACAGAAAACCACAGGCAGATTTCAAAATTAGAATTTCAAATTTTTTGAAAAATTATGTATACAAGCTTTAAAGGCAATGCTTTTAAAACAAAAGTCGTGTGTGGTGGCACACACGCCTGTATTCCCCGACACCTAGGAGGCTAAGACAGGAGGATCGCACTGAGTTCAAGGCCAGCATCAGTTACCCAGCAAGACTATATTTCAAACACACACACTCGGGAAAAAAAAAATTTAATCTCAATAAACATCACCAAGTCATGTGTACTGACTAAGTTCTAAAGAGAGTGAGCATGGGTGTCTGATCGGTTACTCAAAGTGTGGGGAGGAGCAGGATGGGGAGACCTCCCCACCTGGTGACTCACCTCGTGACTACTGGGTGCGCAGGATGCTGTGCCCAAGAGACAAACGACAGCCAAGGCCCCCTTAACACACCCAGGAAAACTCAAGAGACTGTGCCCATCGTCGGCTGCTCACCGTCTTCTGGTTTAAACTGAGGGTATTTTTAGCAACGCTGTCTGAGTCACCCACCTATCTACCGATCTACACATACGCATACATAATAAACACTTAGGATAGCGAAGTTTGAAAATCTTTCCCCCAGGCTGGGTGTGGTGGCTCATGTCCACAAACCCAGCACCCGGCAGGGTCCACCTGGCAGAGTGAAACAGGAGGATTACTTCAAGTGGGCTCACGCAAGACCCTACCTAAAAACAAAACAAACAAAAAAGCTCCTTTACTTTCAATTATGAAAGCACTTACAGGCACAGAACACCTCCACAGAACCAAACAGTGGCTGCTCCGTACTTCTCTGGACAAAGCTGGCATTTACAGACGTGTTGTTCATCTGGAATCCCCAGACACTAACCCTTTACCCACGTGTCTGTCCCTCTCAACAGAGGTGATGTCCTCCATGCCTCCAGGGGTTTCCCTCATTCTCACGGTGACAACGCTCTAGTGGGAGAGACCCAGAGGCTGTGTGAACAGACAGGACTCCTGTCTCCTCTAGGCTGGGTCGCTTGTTCCCTTCTGAGGGCCGTCTCCCCCAAGGACTCTGCTTATGCCATTTAAACTGCACTCCTAGCCCTCTGAAGGTGGAGGCAGGAGGATCAGAAGTTCAAGGTCTTCATGACTACAAAGCAAGCTTAAGGCTAGCCTGGGCTACAGGAGAATCTGTCACAAAAATATATATGTACTATTAAGACTTTACCCGATGTAAAGTTACTAGACTGACTGGCTCAGAGTTGGACTGTAAATTCTGAGTACACGTGGATGGATTCTCCAGTGGCTCAGCTATGTGTGCTGGATGGCGACAAATCATCTAAGGCACCAAGCAACGAACTACGATAAGCTGCCGCCCGGAACCCCGACACACCCTTTAATATCTGACTGTGTGTCTGAGCAAAACCAACAGGTCTGAAACCGAGGAAGGGACAGTCACCGTAACTCGGCACTGGCAGAGATGTTCCTGGACCGCAGCGGTCAGGAGAATACAGCAGGCCCCGAGTTCCGGCCTGTAGAGAAGTGTCCCCGGTGCCCCGAGCGGCATCTTCCTATCTACAGTGCGGATCTGCCCATCGGGTGTGAGTCAGGACCCCCGACATAAAAAATGACCGCGTCTTGTTCAGAACACTGACGTAGCTTTTGCTGTTATCATGGAAAGTTCCTTGTAGCTTCCCTCAGTATTGACTCAAAGGCCAAATGATAAGAACAGATAAAGCAAGTGTCTCACGATTTTCTGTGTGAGAGAAGTCATGCAAAAGAAGGAAAAACCTGCCTGAAGCCAGGAAGCACCCAACTCATTAGAAACAGCACAGCAGGGCCAGGGGACGGCGCCGTGAGTGCAAGTCTGAACTCAACCCCTAGGAGCCACACCGTGGTAGGAGAGAGAACCAACTCCACAACACTGCCCTTTGACCTCCTCAAGGGCACTTGGCATATGGCACTTGGCATGCCCATACACATACAAGAGGAAGAAGGAATAAGAAAATGGTTAAACAACCATAATCAGCATTTGTGGGGTTCCTGAACAGGTAATTTCTAGGCCCCAGACCCTTCCAGTCTATTTTGCTCTCTTTAAATAGGATAAAGCCCATGCCACTTTGTTCCAGTCCCAGCAACCTCCTCCCCTTCACCTGACAGCACAGTCAAAGTCAAAATGTCAAAGATCTTGGCTCTCCAGATGCTCAGACGCCAATGCCAATCAATTGGCAATCAATATTTATTGATCCTGGGGTTGTGAGCCAACCCCTCTATTTCCCTTACTCTTGGAAAGGACCCCATCAGGATGCCTAGAGCCCAGAGACTCTGCTGAGAACCTTGAGGAAAGTCCTGGTGGACAGCAGGTAAACACGGCTCTCCTGTGCCTCTCCACAGGCACCCAGCAGCTGGCTTCACTAAGACTGGGCAGCATAGTAGCTAGTCCAGACACCAGCCCTTCTCCCCAACGCCTAGGACGGATCAGGGACACACCCAACTCAATCACTGGAACCCAAGCTCTTTAAACCATTGGGACACTGGGGGGCGAAATGAACGGCATTCTTAGAAGTCATGGTACATCTGGTGACCCACAAATCAAGAAAACTAGAAGGGGTCAGTGGTGACTTCCAAAACGCAGAACTCCAAACTGTCTCTTGCAGGGTAGTAACAGGATAGAACCTGATGTTTAGAAAAATATATAGTCAGGAAAAGAATACATCCATCTTTCCCCGCAGACTACAGGCACCTCACTCTCCTCATTATCCAGAATGCTTTGCAGATCAGACAGATCCACGTGTCAGCTCCACCCTCTGCCAGGGGACAGGGTAAAGTTTCTCTATGCTTTTCCAGAGCATGGCCCAAGAAAGCCTCCTGGCCTCTGTTGCAGTCCACAGCTCGGCGTCAGAAGACAGCAGATAATCACACAGCTCTTAGCTTACTAACTAGGCCAGCTCCTGGCCTGTTACATCAAACATAGTCCCGCCTGGAGCCATCAGAAAGTTGTGAGTCAATTAGTAAGCACTCAACCTTGCCTCCTGATGGGCTTGAGGGACCTGAGAGGACTTCACTATTGAAGAACAGATTCCAAAGTGGACACACCAACTGTCTCTTTTGGTAAAGGCTTGTGGCTTAAGGGTCATTTGCAAGGAGAGACTAAAGACAAGAGGACCTTACAATCCACAATATTGCCTCCCAGCAAGGCCCTCCCTTCGCAATCCCTCCAGAATGCCTCTCAACATTGTCTCCCCTGTACTTCAAACCTGCTGACACCTGTCCAGCCACACACTTCAGCTACCAAGCAGCCTCCCCCAAATGGGCCACGCCCTCCACACAAACCTAGCCGGCCCCAGAGGGTGATTTCTCTCTTTGCCCCCTTCTGTCGTTTCCTAGGCCCCATCTGTGCTGAATGCAGCCAGCGACATTCATTTGAATCACCCGCTGCTGGGGAAGCTGTTTCTGCCTTCCCCCAGCCTCCCCACACCCCAGCCCCAAGGTCTGAGCTTAGAAAAGGGAGGATTCTACTAGGCTTATCTACAGTTGACCTCCTGAGCACAGCGTCCAGCCGCCAGTGCCCTGGGCCAGCCGCCAGAGTAGAGCACAGGGGGACACACTTTCACTATATACACAACAGACACCCCAGAATCCAATCCGACGGCAGCCTTGCACTTACAAACCCAGAACCTAGCGCACCAAAACCCATTTACCTCCCCATTCCGAGCAAATGACTGTGCACAGCAAGAAACACCCATCGTCAAGAG